ATCCATCCATCCATCCATCCATCTATCCATCATCCATCCATCCATCCATCCATCATCCATCCATCATCCATCCATCCATCCATCCATCATCCATCCATCTTCTGCCTCTTGTTCTGGACTAAGGTCTCGGGGGCAACATCTTGAGCAGGTAGGTCCAGACATCTCTCTCCACAGCCTCTTTGAGCTCTTCTGGGAGGACTCTAAGGCGTTCCCAGGCCAACAGAGAGACAGTCTCTCCATCGTGTTCTGGGTCTTTCCTGAGGTCTCCTCCCAGTCGGACATGCCCAATGCACCTCTCTAGGGAGTCGCCCATGGAGCATCCTTACCAGATGAACCTCCTCAACTGGCTCCTCTGGATGTGGAGGAGCAGTGGTTCTACTCTGAGTCTCTCCTGATAACTGAACTTCTCACCCTGTCTCTGAGGGAGAGTCCAGCTCCTGCAGAGGAAACTCATTTCAACCTCCTGTATCCACGATCTCATTCTTTCAGTCTCTACCAGAGTTCATGACCAGAGGTGAGGGGAGGAACGTAGACTGACCAGTAAACAGAGAGCTTTGTCTTACAGCTCAGCTCCCTCTTCACCACAACGGACCAGCACAGAGTCCACAATACTGCAGATGCTGCACAAATCCGTCTGCCAATCTCACGCTCCATTCTTCCTTCATTTGTGAACAAAACCCAGAGATACTTGAACTCCTCCACTTGAGGCAGAACCTCACCCTCAACCTGAAGAGAACAATCCACCCTTTGCTGACTGAGGACCATGGGCTCAGATTTGGAGGTGCTGGTTCTCATCCCAGCTAAGAACTGTTCTACTGAGAGTTGAAAATCACGGCACGATGACGCCAACAGGACCACATCATCTGCGAAGAGCAGAGAAAGAATCCTGAGACCACCAAACCGGACTCCCTCCTGTCTGCACCGAACACAGCAATGAATGTTTAACTTTCATTAAGTTTTGCAGCGGTACATTTCACTTTATCTTAAGGAACTCTCCTAAAACTGCTTTTAAAAAGTCTGTTTGCTGACCCCGTCAGTAATGACGTGGATGTTCGCACTTGTTTTCCAGCAGCTAATTAACATACAGTTTGTTGAAGGTGTAGTCTGGAAAAGAGGGTGGAGATAAAGCAGATGGATAAAAAAGTAAAATGAGTTGAAGTCCAACGTTTCCACCTGCAGCAATGGAGAAACCAGAACTCTGCTTCCCACAACTCGTTAACTCTTCGTGCAGCAGACTCAAGCTGCCGTACGTGGAGCTTCTGCTCTATTACAGCGTGCTTTCTGTCATGTCAGCGTTAACCACTGTTCTCAACCTGCTCGTCATCATCTCTGTCTCACATTTCAGGTCACCACATAATGTGCTCACATATTTGACTGTGTTCTGAATAAGACATTTCATCAAAAGTACATTTCTGTTCTTCCACAGACAGCTGCACACTCCCACCAACATCCTCCTCCTTTCTCTGGCCGTCTCAGACTTTTTTGTCGGCCTGCTGCAGGTTTTTCAAATCGCACTGATCGATGGCTGTTGGTTTCTCGGTGACATCGTGTGTACTCTTTATCAGTACTTGGCATATTTTATCACCTCTGCATCAGTAGGAACCATGGTGCTCATATCTATTGACCGTTACGTTGCTATTTGTTACCCTCTGTATTACTCCAGCAGAGTCACGCAGGACAAAGTGATGATCTGCGTCTGTCTTTGTTGGATCTGCTCCTCTTTATTTCAAAGTCTGATTCTAAAGGACAATTTGAAAGAACCAGGCAGATATTACTCCTGTGTTGGAGAGTGTGTCTTTGCCTCCAGCTACTTTGCAGGATTAGCTGATCTGATGTTTTCCTTTATTGTCCCCATCACTGTGATCGTAATGTTGTATCTCCGAGTGTTTGCGGTGGTCGTGTCTCAGTCTCGAGCGATGCGCTCTCACGGTGCAGACTTTGCTCTTCAAAGTTCAGTAAAGTCTAAAAACTCTCAAACGAAAGCAGCAAAGACTCTCGGAGTTGTCGTGGTTGCGTTTTTATTGTGCATGTGCCCATATTATTGTGTTGCTCTCACAAGTGAAGACAACACTCCTTTAGCAACATTTGTAGTATGCTTGTTTTATTTTAACTCCTGTCTCAATCCAATTATCTACGTCTTTTTTTACCCCTGGTTCAGGAAGTCAATCCGGCTCATTTCTACACTTCAGATCCTGCAGGCCCACTCCTGTGACACCAACCTGTTGTAGTTGAGTGGTGGATTGGTGGTCTAAGTTGAAGGTATTTGGTGTAGCTCCGTGCGTGTTTGTTGTTCCACGTGTAGTTTCAGTAAGCTCGATGCTATGGCTCATCTAAGGGGAAGTCATGCTAAAACTGCACTGGGAGTTTTATTTAAACGAGACCTTATCGTGTATTTTTAACTATGAAACTTTAGTTCAGTTCATGTTAGCAACAAAAACAAGTTTTTGGTCAACAATTAAACTATTTTTTTTTTTCCCTCATGGGCAACAGTATTATTATTTTTTATATAAAAAATATAAAAATGCTTTCGTCACACTTGGTCCTATAAAGGTACATGGTGAGATGATGACTGTAAAGCTCCTGCTATAGAAGAAGAGTGATGTGACCTGTTGAGGAGACAGACACACGAGCAGGGAACACAAACATAATGAAACAGGTGAGGGCTGAAACGGCTGAACCGACTCAGTCCAGCGATACCGTCACTTCCTCACCAACGTCCACGCTTTGGACAATAAAGTTATTTACAGGTACAACTCACACCGCTGGCAGCACGTGGTGGACCAGTTGTTAGAGCTGTTGCCGCTCAGTGAGAAGGTTGCTGGTTCAAATTCCGGGACCTTTCTGGGTGGAGTTTGCATGTTCTCTCTGTGCTGCATGTTTTTTTTTCCAGGTACTCCAGTTTCCTCCCACAGACCAAAAACATGCTCGTTCTTGTATCTTACAAAAAGACCTGAAGTCTCGACCTTGACCTCTCTACGTGGTTTCAAACATCTGATAAGTTCCTGTTTCATTTTGTTTTTTGGATACCCTTTTCTTTCACTTGTTCTTCTCAATTTATCTGCTTCCTTTTATGCTTGTCAGCTGTTGTCATCAGTCTTTGTTAAATCAGGTCTCTCTTGTAAATGAGTCCCTGAGGCTCAATGGGACTAACCTGTAGAACTAAAGGTTGAATGAACGTTAGACTGATTGGTAACTTTAAAATGTCCCTAGGTGTGAGAGAGAGAGTGACTAGTTGTTTGTCTTGTTTGTCTCCATGTCTCCCTGTGATGGACTGGAGACCTGTCCAGGGTGTCCCCACCTCTCATAAAGTGATAGCTTAACTTGGGCACCAGTGACCCCCACTACCCTAAAAGGAAGAAGCGGGTGAAGATGATGGATGGATGGAACTCAAGGTGACTGACTTTACATCTACAATATCTGGTGCAGCCACAGTACATCTGCAGCTCTCTGTTCACAACTGGTAACACAACTGGTAATAACTGGTCTTCTTCCAGTCACTGCTACATTCACAGTAGCTGTGTTCATTCCTCTCAGTGGTATCTCTAAGAAGGTTAACAGTTTGATACCATTAATTAATGGCGTTAACGAGCTTTTATCCAGATAGTCTACATGCCAAGAGTTATGCTCACTGTGCAACTAGACAAAGTATGGCAGTGGACACGGTGTACAAAAATAGTAAAACTCAAGTTAAGGTTAACTTTAAAGCATATTTTAAACAGCCATGGGCTTCTACATCAACGACCAGGTCTTATTTTATGTGCAGTGCAGGCATAAAATAATGACATGACACCTCTCTGAGGTCAGCAGACCAGATGTTTTTATTGGTTTTGATTGAACTTCAGTGTTTTTATAATTTTAATAATTTAGTTTATTATCTTTACCTCTGTGGATGTATGTATTTTCTGTTGTGTCCATTGCTTGCTGTTTTGCTGTACAATAACTTGGTTGGCCCTGTTGTGTTTTTTTTTTTTTTTTTAGATGGCCTCCCTTCTCCCCTTACAGCCATCCTCTCCACACCATTATTATGAAATATTTATTCTAGTGACTATCTAGTGTAGTTTTTTTTTTTTTTTTTTTTTACCAATAGGATAGAAAGAAAGAAAAGACAAAGTAAGACTCCAAAATATAAGAAATATACACAAAGAGAGCACACGGCAAAACACCCGGCCACTGTCTGTTCGCCTGCAAAGAACATGACGAAACACAGCAACAAAATACATATGTATAAAGAACTTAAAATATTCATGGCTTTGCAGTAAGTTTCCATAAATATATATACCCATACCTACGCCTATATACATACATACATACACATGAATATACACTCACATACATATCTATATATCTACATATAAAGCCTACATAAGCATCCCTGCTTCTATTTGTGTGTGGTTGTGAGCATGCATAAGTGTATAAGGCTTCTCTAATGCTGTACAATAACTTGGTTGGCCCTGTTGTGTTTTAACTGCTTTGTCAATAAAGTGGTATGGGATAAGACAGCACAAGCGGAGCATAGCACCAAATTAAAGAAAACCAATTAAACAATTGTACAAACAATACAATGATGGAAACATTTTAATTCTCATGCTGATTTAAAAGTGAAGCACAAATATGTTTCAATTACAAACAATAGTTGGAGCTGCTAACACGTGCACATTTTACTCACACACACACTGGAGATAAACTATTTTGTTGAGCCTTGCCAGGACTGAATGTCTGATTCAGCTTCTCTTTTCCATGTGCGTGTTGTCGCTAAGAACAGGAGCAATCCCAAACACGAGGTAGGAAAACTGCTGCGGGGACTTGGAGTGAGAGTGTGCGTGAAAGAGGGGGGCCAAAGAGAGCCTGACCAAGAAGAGACTGTTTCCTACTTTATCATGGGCGGCTGTGGCTCAGTGGTTAGAGCAGTCGTCCTCCAACGCAAGAGTTGGGGGTTCCACTCCACCAGCAGTCACATGCTGAAGTGTCCCTGAGCAAGACACTGAACCCCTCATAGCCTCTGATGTGTGTCCCATCAGTGTTTGAATGTGATGAAGCTCTGATTAGTCTCTTTAGAGTGATTTGTTCAGTTAGTTTTGTAGAGATCTAGTATAGAGCTGTATGAACGGGTCATTGAGGCACAGATTGTTGTAAAGAGCTTTGAGTATCTGGATCAGATAGAAAGGAGCTGTATAGGTGCAGTCCATTTACCATCTGCCTCCATTCATTCAACCTTTATTCATATTCAGGTCAATTCACTTTAATTTATTTCTAAAGCTCCAAGTCACAACAGGAGTCTTCTCAGGCACTGAACAGAAACATTTACATATAAAATAATAATTTAACAGAAACATTTACATATAAAATAATAATTTAACAGAAACATTTACATATAAAATAATAATTTAACAGAAACATTTACATATAAAATAATAATTTAACAGAAACATTTAAATATAAAATAATAATTGAACAGAAACATTCATCTATAAAATAATAATTTAACAGAAACATTCATGTATAAAATAATAATTGAACAGAAACATTCATGTATAAAATAATAATTGAACAGAAACATTCAT